GCACTGGCATTTACATCTGGGAAGGCTTTTACTCATGGAGGAAGACGAAGCAGGAGCAGGCACATCACACAGTGAGAGTGGGAGCAAGAGAGAGTAGGGGTGCGGGTTGCCACACAGTCTTAAACAACCTGATTTCACAAGGACTCACTCATATGAGGACAGCACCACGCCATGAGGTCTTTGCCCCCATGATCCAAACACATCCCACCAGGAACCACCTCCAATAATGAGGATTACATCTCAACATGAAATCTGGAAGGAAGAGCCAAGCCATATCATAGGCATTGAAGGAATATACCTGAAAATAATAAAAACCATATGAAACAAACCCACAGTCAACATCATAATGATTGGGGAAAAGTTGAAAGCACTCCTCTAAGATCTAGAACAAGACAAAGGATGCTTACTTTCACCACTCTTACTCAAAATAGTACTAACAGTCTTAGCCAGAGCAACCAGGAAAGAGAAAGAAATAAAGATATTCAAACTGGAAAAGAGGAACTCAAATTATCTATTTGCTGATGTTACAATCTTATACCTAGAAAAGCCTAGAGATCCCTCCAAAAGGCTCTTAGATTTGATAAAAGAATTCATTAAAGTTTCAGAAAATCAATGTACAAAATCAGTAACATTTCTGTACACCAATAACAATCAAGCTGAGATACAAATCTAGAAGTAAATTCCATTGACAACAGCTACAAAAAAATTTAAATACCTGGGAATACAGTTAACCAAGGAGGTGAAAGATCTTTGCAAGGAAAACTTCAAAATACTGATGAAATACATTGCGGATGACACAAACAAATGGAAAAAAATATTCCATGCTCATGGATTGGAAGCATCAATGTCATTAAAATGACCATACTGCCCAAAGCAGTCTACACAGAGTCAATGTATTTCCTATAAAAATACCAATGTCTGTTTTCACAGTTAGAAAAAAAAAAATCCTAAAATTCGTATGAGACCAAAAAAGACCCAAAACAGCCAACGCAATCCTAGGTAGAAAGAACAATACTGGAGGTATTGCGTTACTTAACTCCAAATTATACTACAAGGCTATCATAACCAAAACAGCATGGTACTGGTTTAAAAACAGACACACAGATCAATGAAACAGAACAGAAAACCAGAAATAAATGCACATACCTACAGCCTCCAGATCTTCAACAAAGTTGATAGAAACATACACTGAGAAAAGGACACCCTATTCAATAAATGTTGCTGAGAAAATTAGCCATATCAAGAAGAATGAAATTGGATTCATATCTCTCATCATTTACAAAATTAACTCAAGATGGATTAAAGAGAAGGAAGAAAATATGGATTAAAGACTTAAACGTAAGACCCGAAATTTTTAAAAGTGTAGAAGAAAACCTGGGAAGAACCTATCTGCTGATTGGCCTAGGCAAAGAATTCATGACTAAGACCTCGAAAGCAAATGCAACAAAAACAAAAATAGACAAATGGGACTTAATTAAACTACAAAGCTTCTGCACAGCAAAAGGAATAATCAACAGAGTGAAAAGACAACCTACAGAATGGGAGAAAATATTTGCAAACTATACATAAGACAAAGGACAAATATCCAGAATCTACAAGGAACTCAAACAACTCAACAGGAAAAAAAAAAAAAAAAAAAAACAAACAAAAAAAACCACTTCATTAAAAAGTGAGCAAAGGCCATGAACAGATGTTTTTCAAAAGAAGACATACAAATGGCTAACAAACATATGAAAAAAAATGCTCAACATCACTAATCATCAGATAAATTAAAATTCAAACCACAATGCAATACCATCTCACACCAGTCAGAATGGCTATTAAAAAGTCAGAAAATAACAGATATTGGTGAGGATGTGGAAAAAAGAGGACACATATACACTACTGGTGGGAATGGAAATTAGTACAACCTGTATGACAAATGGTATGGAGATTTCTCAAAGAACTAAAAACAGAACTGCCATTCAATCCAGCAATTCTACTACTGGGTATCTACCCAAAGGAAAAATCATTATATCAAAGATACCTGTACTCATACATTTCTCGTAGATTTATTCACAATAGCAAAGATATGGAATCAACCTAAGTATCCACTGATGGATGACTGAATACAAAAAAAATGGTGTGTATATACACCATGAAATATTACTCAGCCATTAAAAAGAATGAAATTATGTCTTTTGCAGCAACATGGATAAAACTAGAGGACATTATCTTAAGTAAAATAACTCAGAAAGTCAAATATTGCATACTGTCACTTATAAATAAGAAATAAATAATATATACACATGGACATAGAGCATAGAATAATAGACACTGGAGACTCAGAAAGGTAAGAGGGTGAGAAGGGGTGAGGAATGAGAAATTAACTCATGGACACAATGTATACTATTCAGCTGATGGTTACACTAAAAGCCCCAGACTCCACTACTAGGAAACATATCCATGTAACAAAATGCACTTGGATCCCCTAAATGTATAAAAATAACACTATTCAGCCATTTAAAAAAATGAAATTGTCATTTGTGACAACATGGATGAACCTGGAAGATATTATGTTAAGTGAAATGAGCCAGACACAGAAAGACAAATACCACATGATCTCACTCATATGTGGAATCTAAAAAAGCTGATCTCATAGAAACAGAATAGAATAGTGGTTACTAGGGACTAGGGAGGGGATTGGGAATATGATGATGGGAAGAGAATGGTCGACAGGTACGAAGTTACAGTTAGATAGGAAGAATAAATTCTGGTGTTACATTGCACAGTAGAGTGACTATAGTTAACAATAATGTATATTTGAAAATAGCTAGAAGAGTGGATTTTGAATATTCTCACCACAAAGAAATAAATGTTTGAGGCAATCAATGTGTTAGCTAATTACTCTGATTTGATGTGTCAATTAAAAATAAAACTTTCAAAAATCATCAAAAAAGTGAATAGATATGCTAAGTGAAAGAAGCCAGACATAAAAGTCACATACCTTACAACTCCACTTATTTGAAATTCTAGAAGAGGTAAAACTATAGTGAAAGAAAGCAGACAAGTTGCTGGGGTTGGGGGGTGGTGAACCATAAAGGGAATGATAGACATATTATTTGTTTTGACTGCGGTAGTGTTTCATAACTACACACATTTCCAACACATCAAGCTTCATACTTACATTTGATTAATTTTATTACATGTAAATTATACTTTAATAAAGTTAATTTTAAAAGTGAAAGAGAGAGACCTGAGAAGGTCTAGCCCTATTTAATCATTTAGGGGAAAACACACACACACACATACACACACACACACACACACACAAAACTGTCTTTGAGTATACAAGATCACACAGTTGGCAAAACAGGACTAGAATCTAGTTCCATAAATAAAATCCAAAGCTCTTTATATCATATAAATTGCCACTATTTGGCAGTAGGGAGTGGTGGTGGTGGATGCTTATATTGGTAACTCAATACCTCCTGCTGTAATACAGATTTAAAACCCTTATTCTGAAACTTTGAAGAATTCATAAAGTTATATTAGGGAAGGCTATAATCAAAACACTGAGCAACAGATGTTCACTTTCTATCAGTAATATGCTCATTCATTTTATTCTGGCTATGTTTGCTTACCAAGTTAAATTTTTTACTATCAACCAGCATTCTATCCCTTTGATATACATCTATCAATTGGTCTCAATATTTGAAAAACAATGTAAAAAGTTTAATTCATGATTCTAATGTATTATGACTGTAGCTTATGCTAAATGCAAACAATACTTAGTTTTCTTTAAAAAATCACATTGAAGTAACTTATTTCAGGTAAATTCCTAACATAATTCCACAATTGTTTTTTCTTTTGAATGCTTTGATATTATTGACATTTCATACAAAAGTGGAGCAAAATATGAGTTCCCTTCTTTTTAGTATTATTTTATCACTCTCCTATTCATTTTTCTTAGCAATCTTCAATAACAGAAAAAAAAAAAGACGTTTATGGCTCCTTCAATTGCCAATTTTTCTTTTTGCTTTTGGTTTTCTGATTTTCCTGTACTGAGATGATGATGCTGTGTCTTAATTTTACTGAATAAAAAGAATGTCCTACTCTGCAGTCACTCTATTTGCCTTCCAGATCTGCATAGAGTTCTAGGATTAACACAACTTTTTCTGCTTACTTATTACAATGTAGTGCCTACCTGAGGATGGAAAACTGAAACAAGAAATAATATGTTTTCAAAGATAAACAGTTGGCTTTTCTTTTACCCTCATATTCCTGATTAAGATCACCCTAGTCTGAATTTGCCAATGGAAAATGTCTAAGCTGCAAAAGATACCTGAGGCTAGATGTACAATTAGTAGTTGTTTCGTACATACTCTAGGTTGATTAAGATAATTAGAAACACACTCTAGGTTAATTAAGATAATTTTTAAAGGGTTAATCTTTTTCATCTTTGCAACTTCTCTCCCTCTGAAATAAAGGCATACACCTTAACCCATAATTCAATGTCTTGATGTAGGAAGTCTAAGCAACAGTATTTCGTAAGACACAAATTGCCACACTGCCGAAGCTTTAAATGAGATAACCACATATATTCTGCGTGTTGGGTAATATTTCATCTGCACAATGAACAAAAACTAGCTGAAGTTGGGATTTAAAAATTACTGTTAGCAAAATGACAGCTATTATGAAAACAGATTTCTAAAAACTTAAAAGCAATTCTGACATACACTGCTTATTTACCATTACTTAAAACACAGTGTAAGGAAAGAAAATATACCTATTTCTAACAAAACTATGTAGACAGAAAAAAAATTAGAACAGGAGTCCTTAGGCCACAATAAGACCCCTAAATATCACAGAACATAAAATTGTATAATTTAAAAGTTCAATTAAAGTTGAAAACAAAGTTATTTAAAACAACAGCACAGAATCTGTGCTATGAGAAAAAAAAAAATGATTGAAAGGAAGGGGGATGAGAAAGGTGAGAAAAGCACTACCAGACTCCTTACCCATTGTTGTTGGTGCTGGAGCTTCCTGATGGTATTTTCAGCTTGCTCCAGCTTAGCACTGGCCTCATCACTCTGCTGTTTGATGGTGGCCAACTCCCGTTTTATGAGGTAGTTTTCCTCAGCCTCCTGGGCTCTTGTCACTTGTCCCTTAGGACATAATTTTTTTGTGTGTAAAGCAATTTAGGATAGATTCAAGAAAGACTGCCTTTGTGAGGTTTAGTTATTTACTTTGACATATTAAAAAAAAAGTCACCTCAGCGAATAGAACAGCCTAGGTAATCATTAGCTAGCAGCTTGTTATTGCTCCAGCAAATTTTGGGAAACTAAATGAAAATTTCACCTGACAAGAACAATTCTTCTTTCAGTCAATAACAATTTAATTCATGCAATATTACTGAGTTGTACATGCAGGACTGAAATTTTCAATGAATAGTAGTTAATTTCACAGAATCCACTTATTGCCACTTTGAAATAAATACTTAAAAAAATAAGGTTAGCTTTAAAACGTGCAAAAATAAACCAAGATAACATTTTGTTATAAAAAATTAAATTTATACCCACATACACCACCCAAAAAATTATTTCTAGAAAAACGCATGTAAAATTGCATGCATTAAAATATGAATTTTGAGGTTTAGGACTTTCCTTAGAAGTTAGAGAAGATGTTTAAAAGAACTAAAACAAAACAAAAACTATACCTGTATCAATCTATCTGCCAAGGAAGCACTTTCCTACAAAAGGAAAAATTCAGATAGAAATATAAGAGAAAGAAATAAAAGTGATAAAATTAGGAAAAAAGAAACAAATATATGCAAATTCCATCTACTTTTCATTGCTAATTAAAATGGACATTTAAATTTTAAAACCATTTTTTACTGAATGTGTTTTTATTTTTAAACCTTAAGAAAAAGATATAAAAACAAGGATAGGTGGTTGAAAATCATGTGTTTCCTGAAGATATCAAACACAAAGTCCAAGTGGTTTTTCATTACCTGCAACAAGCACAGTTTTCTGTTTGTTTGTTTGTTTGTTTGTTTAATAGAGACAGGGTCTCACCCAAGGTAGAATGCAATGGTATGATCACATAGTTCACTGTAACCACCAACTCCTCGGCTCAAGGAGTTTATCCTTCTGTTTCAGCCTCCTGAGCAGCTAGGACTACAGGTGTGTGCCACCATGCCCAGCTAGTTTTAAAATTTTTTGTAGAGATACAGTCTAGCCATGTTATCCAGGCCAGTCTTGAACTCCTGGCCTTACGCAATCCTCCTGCCTCAGCCTCCCAAAGTGTGGGGATCATAGGCGTGAGCCACTGCACTCAGCCAAATATTTCTTCTTCTTTTTGATGTATTTACATCTTTTAGACTTAATCCATATTGTCAACCCACTTATATGAAAGGGAGAAGGAATTTGAGTAAGCAATTCCACTTAAAAAGTGTGACAGCAATTTGTACAACAGCAGCTTTCAAAGAAACAAAGCAAGGAAAATATGACAAATAAAATTAATGAGCTAAACTTAAACGTTAGCAATAACTGAGAAAGTATACCTTTTTATTACGGAATTCAATTGATACATAGTATTTATAGAATTCTAAGTGCTAAGTGACACACCTGGGCCACCTAAGCCAATAAAAAAAGGAACTTAATTTTCTAGAAGCAAAATTCAAACTTAACATTTTCTTACAGCATTGTTATCATTCCGAAGGTTCAATGAAATACTATAATGCTTTTCCGGTTTAAACGTCTTACTCCAAAGATTTAAAAAAAAACAAAAACAAAAACACCAAGACGACGCGCATATTTGATTGTAAGCTAGATATTTAGTGGGAAAAAAGAGTATATAGTTAAAAAAACTTAAAAGCAAGCTCAATCTTCCTGTGGAGTCACCAAAAGTAGAATTATTCTCATAGCAACCCTAACATGATGACAGAAAAACAGGGAAACTATTTTTGACTTAATATGATGTATCTGCAATTATTATCCAACAAAGGCAGACATGTAATAAATATCCGGTCCTTATTATGCACCTCTATTTAATATGAAATCATCAAAACTTTTCAAACCAACGACAAATACTACAAAATATTCATATTTCCATTTATTTATTTCTTGAATATTTATCTGTAGATTTTCAGGGAAGATTTTAAGATCCTTGGCAATATGATGAGGGGTATGTTTAAATCTACTTAATCTCATCCCTAGTTAAAGAAAGAAAAAAGCAGTCAGGCACGGTGGCTCATGCTTGTAATCCCAGCACTTTGGGAGGCTGAGGCAGGCAGATCACAAGGTCAGGAGATCAAGACCATTCCTGGCCAACATGGTGAAACCCCGTCTCTACTAAAAATACAAGAATTAGCTAGGCGTGGTGGCACACGCCTGTAATCCCAGCTACTTGGGAGGCTGAGGCAGGAGAATCGCCTGAACCTGGGAGGCGGAGCTTGCAGTGAGCCACGATTGAGACACTGCACTCCAGCCTGGGCAACAGAGCGAGACTCTGTCTCAAAAAAATAAAATAAGAAAAAAGCACCAAAAGAGTGTGAATTCAGATGTCTTTCTTTTAATAAAACGAAATTCTTAAACCATACTTTTACTACTCAATTCATTCTTATAGCATCTGAAATGACTACAAAAGATTTTTCATCAGAAGCACAGTATGAAAAATAATGCAAAATTTCCATATTTGCCCAGTTATTCTGTATAAAACAGAAAATGTAACAAGTAGATACCAAAATAATTATAAGAACTAAAAGTTTATGCACAATTCCTTTGTGTTGAAAATCAACATGAGAGTGAATTTTTATGTAAGGAAGCAGTCAGTCACTTCAACTAAAAGCAATCCTAGGCCTTAAAGGAATTACCGCCACGTTCAATATGCTAGAAAGTCCAGGGCAACATTTGAAACTCATTTTTTAAATGCTATATTAGAACGGACTCCCAACTAAATTCTAAAAGAACATACTTTTTAGAAATTATGTGTAAAGAAAACAAATAGTATCAATATGTTACTCTTAATCTCAGTTAAAACTTGAATATTAAAGTTTAAGAACCACTACAACTGATCAATTTTTTATTAGTAACAAGTTATCTGGCTAAATAGTAAGGTAAGCAAGCTAAGCATTCAATACTACAACATAGGAGACATGTGCCAGAATTTTTGAGGATTTTTAATAAATATACAGAAAAAACACTAGGCATCCAACAGAAGCTTGCATAAGTAGTCACTTACTTTTTCTAATGTCTCGATGCGCTGTTTTAAAAGTCTATTTTCTGTGCGTAACCTCTGCCAAGAAAAAAAAATGTTTTATTTGCAAGCATTTTTGAGAGGAAAAAAAAGATTCCTAAATCACAGTCCTGAAAACGTACCACCTTTTATAAATAAGAAAGGAGTCTAAGGGATGATTACATTATCAAATGTCAAAGACTCAGAGTAAGAAATACACAGAAGGCAGGGCACCATGGTTCACGCCTGTAATCCCAGCTCTTTGGGAGGCCAAGGCGGGCAGATGGCTTGAGTTCAGGAGTTCCAGATGAGCCTGAGCAACATGGTGAAAGCTCATCTCTGAAAACTACACACACACACCCACACCCACACACACACACACTTTAGCCAGGAATGGTGGTGATGAGCCTGGGCAACAGGGTGAAACCTTGTCTTTATGAAACACACATACACACACGAACATACGCACACGTGCACACACGCACATACACACACACACACAATTTAGCCAGGAATGGTGGTGCAAGTCTGTCGTCCCAGCTACTTGGGAGGCTGAGGTGGGAG